TCGGGATACTTAGTGCGGAGTTTTCTTTGAGTATAGAAAGAACTTCTGCTGTGGACGGGAGATGTAGCCGTAAACCACCCTTGGAACAACTTGGCCTTACAGTCATATATCATCATGAGTTGATATCAGTTAGAGAACCACTGGAAAAACTGGGAGTACTAGAAAACTGTTTCGTACTAGTTTGAGACTCTTCAGCAGTATGCACCCACTGGGGTTTGAATCGAAGACCTTCTGGTTACAAGGCCAGCGAGCTCGTAGACCATTGAGCCACTGGGACCTGATCCAATGGCCAGTCCATGAATTCTAACTTCTGCCCAATTCATGACTAAGCGTGACCACTTGGCGAATTAGTCTGATGCTCACTAGTGACGCGCCCTATTCAGGCAGTGACCTGGGGCTCTAGTGGGAAGCCGTGACCATAGTAGGGTACAGCAGGTTGAAGATGAGGCGGTAACTCATCGAAGAAGATATTCCGAAGTGGTTGCGCTATGTCGTGAATTGGTAGAAGTCAGAATTGATGGACTGGCCATTGGATCGGGTCCCAGTGACTCAATGGTCTACGAGCTCGCCTTGTAACCAGAAGGTCCTGAGTTGGAATGCTGACGGTGGGTGCATACCGATGAAGAGTTCCAAACTAGGCTGACGAAAGAGCTGTCCAGTACTCCCAGCTGGTTTTCCAGTGGTTGTCTAACTGATGTCAGCTCATGATGAAATCCTCCATGCCAACAAACACAAAATCCCTACAAAACCAATACTTGAAAATTATATATCATTTTGAAAGATATCTCTATTGATGTAGAATAATGCGCGAAAACAAGGTGTTCACGGTTCTCGCCTACAACTTGAAGATACCCTACTTCTACAGCCTATGTACTTAGTTCTATAGGATATTTGATTACTATATTCACGTGAATGTTTCCAACATTGGAACATTTTGTTTCATATTTGAATGAATAAGAAGGTGCATGGCGAAAGTGAGGTGTAAATGTGCATCGGAGAATGTTTTTTGAACTGTTCTCAGTAATCTGCTTCGAAGAATTTCAACTGTTGACGTCACCTATCGATTTCAGGTTTACAGTTAATTTCTTGAACGTTTTGTCTTTTGCGGATACAGTTGTATGATGCACAAGGGAAAAAAACGCTGAGCTGTGTATCCTGAAGCAGTTTCGGCTAATCCCATTTACTATAAACGTAACGGTAGGAGACAAGAGATTCGGTAAAGGAAGGAATGTTTATTCAGAATTCAGTATCTCTATATAGCAACCACTGTGCGTCGGTGGCACAGTGGTTGGGACTTTCACCAACCATGCACATGGTCCGGGGTTCGAGTCCGCACCGACGCACATCTGATATCTATGGTCGGCCTGCAAAATTTGGGCTACCGATATCCATGCTGAAAATTCCATACTTGTACCGAAAATACAGTGTGGAATCAAGCTGTAAATCAAAAATAAAAAAAAATATTATGTACACCACCTAATCTTCAACGCACCAGTTGCACAGATCTTCCGTGTTGTGCCTGCTACTTCTCGCCTTCCTTAATACTGTGTTTCTTTCACGTCTTTCATGTTTCTCCGCAACTCTGAATCATTTGCTTTCTCTGACATGAAATTTATCTCCCTCCTATTGGATGTTTTTTTTATGCCGGTGAACGTTTCTATGCATACTACTGATAAATCTTATCAGTAGCATACGCCACATTGGATTGCATGCCAAATTATTGTACAAGTTTTTAAAAATAGTAAAAAATTTAAGGCCACAGTAGGGAAATAAATTGGATTAACTTCAGGATTTTCTTTGTGTATAGTAGTGTTATTATTACTGCCTTGGTTTCCAAGTGAAACATAGGGCTTCAGCAGGACCTCTCCACTTTGTTCTATTGTCTGCTCTCCTCTTCAGCTGACTAGCTACACGATTGACCATAATCTCTCATCTCCTCCTCCTCCTCCTCCTCCTCGCCATACGATCTCCTCCATGGCACCTTCACATCGACGACCCATTCGTCAATGCCCATTTGGATTCTACTCTATCTGTGGCCTGCACTGCACGTGATGTCATTCGATCACCTCAGTGGTGGCCGATAACTGCTACCTTGTCGTGGTGGTCGGGGGGCTTGAATACCGTTATGTGACCCAACATGCTAAACTGACCAGGACTCTGTCCCTGCAGGTCCTACTATGTCAGGAAGGTTGTTTGGATAGCGGTGGTTAAACTAAAAGCAGTTACCTTGAGGTACATGGGCTCCAGTATCCAATTGAATCAAATGGCGTATGAACCCATATGGGTCACCGGCAATAACCATGGGAATGCAGCTCCTGACGCTGCTCCGCTGCCTTGCGGATCAGACTCCAAGTCAAAGGCTCAGGGGGGGTGGTCCCTTAATAAAACCACCTGCTTCGGTCTGGGCGTCCGGGCCAGTACCTCAGCCTTCACACAATGAATTGAATAAAGCAACCAACAATCAAGGAAACTTATCGCGTGCTATTACACGTGTTGCAATTTCCTTCTTTCTTCCCTTCCCGCGATGATAGTTAACGAATACTGTTTGAACTTGTTAATCATGACTGTTTTCCTTCCAGATGAAGTTCTTTATCCGTTCTCTACTTATATATATTTCTCTTCTTTCTTTTTTCTTTTGATCTATGTTGTTTTGTTATTATTATTGTGTGGCGCATCCTTCTTGGTGCCATATTGTACCAAGTTTTTATGGGTTTAAATAAATAAATCAATGGCGTGTTCCCGATCCATTTCCATTTTCTCCTACATATATTTGTTGAGGAAAATGTTCTTGGTTTTAATTAGTTCATCGCCAGAGTTTCTTGTCACTGATTCCTATCTCTGTGGTTGACTGTCTGGCCGTTTGATCTTCAATGTATGTGGAGAGCAGTCAACGAAGTGGGCAGCTGTTGGTGAAAGTCTTCAGTAACTTTTTTGAATTGTTGTTCGTAACGCACAGGCCCAAATTTCTGACCCATATAAAGCTGACTTGATATTAGTGTTGAACAGAAAGAGGATCTTGTTGCTGCTTATGCTGAATACAGAAGATTTCCAAAAAATGGTATCAGGCTGACGAAGGCGTATCTCTTACCTTTCTGGTTCTGACTGGCTTTGACAGCTTCACCTGTTCCACCTAGTGTTGAAACCGTGCTTCTTTAGATAAGTTTCTCCCGTTGATTGTGATTGGTTGTTGTTGCTGCTGCTGTCGACTGGTGTTATGTACTCGTCGCCAATTTTCTGTTATGTACTGCTGAGTGGTTAATAGTCCTGACGCAGAAAGGGGAAATCAGAAAGACCACCTCGTTCACAATGATACTTGTATTTTCTAAACAAGGAAAATAATAATGACTGTCACACAAGTGTGTGTGTGTGAGTGAAATGGTACGTAGTGTATGAAATGTGTGAACAAGGTACATACAAGTATACAATACAAAATTATATATGAAAATGGCTAATACACATGAACCAATAGAAAAACAGTCTTATCATGATTGGTTGTAATGTCATGTGACAACAAGGTCACAAATTGTTCATTTAGTTAATGGACAGACAAGAGCATATTGTCAGTTATAATGGAATATCGATCCATATACACATAGTAAAATTTAACAGACTGTCAAAACAAGGTAGATATCATGTGACTACATGTCAGTTGGTTATCTTCATCACCTGCATCTTCTCTATGTTCACTTGGAGTCTTGTCCTCGCTGTCTGGCAGCTTCTTCAGTTAGTTTGTAGGTTTTCGCTTGCAAATATAAACTATCCATGCGTGAAATCCAGATCCTCTAGAGTTTTCTTATCGGTCCAATGTATTCCTACCTTCTCGTTACTCACAGTCTAACGCATGACCTTACCGAGGGTAGAATCCAGGCCTTCAGTTTGCAAGGTGAGGTGACGTTAGGCGTAGAGTGTTGGATAAAGAGGGAAAATCAATCGACGAGGCTATAAAGTTACATAGATTGAGATGGCTAGGTGACGTGCTGCGTATGCCTAACCATCGCCTCCCCCGACGGACATTACTAGCTGATATAGGTGCAGGTTGGAAAAGGGTAAGTGGTGGCCAAACAAAAACATGGCCTCATCAATCCATGAAATCCTTGACAGTTAAACTGAGTCGGTCAGGTAGGGAGATGCAGACTTCCGGGTTGGGGCCCTTGGGACTCTAGGAATCAATGGCTGGAGACAATAGGTGACATGGCTCAAAGTGATCGTTGTCAATGGCCAGTGCAGATGTATTCAGTCTCTGTAATCTTTCATATTCCTTTCTACCATTACCCATTCTGTTTCACTCTTATATTTGTCAAACTCTATTAATTCTCTTCACTCATCTTCTTGTCTACCTCTGTGTGCTATTTGGAAGGTGGCAACTCGAACTGTTGCGCTTTGGTGCCAAGTTCTATGTTGAATCCAGACAGAAGGTGAGGTTGTTGACCATTCAGCCAATGAGTTGGAATCCAGTGACCCATGAATTTTAACTGGTGTCTATCTGATAATTTTTTCAATTCCTTTACATCCCCAGTGGAACATAGGGTGACTTCAAGCTAGAGGCTCGAAATCTCGGTAGCAGTGGTGTTTATTTTTACAGGATGGGATTGCTAGCCAGCCTCATGCCTAACCTTCCCTCTTTACCAGCCTTATACCACTGGCTTAACGAGGTAAAGGAGTACGTCGTTGGCCGGGGGTCGAACTCTGGGCCACATTCGTGGTTGGTGTGTTCGATAAATATATAGCGCCAACACTAGCCACCGTCATGAGTGACTATCTGTTGTCCTCTTGCTTGGCGTGGTGAACCCTATAGACCACTTTTTACTAGTGAGCAGTGAATGGTTTCAATAAGGATTCATCTACGCTTGTCTGTGTTACCACATATTTTGTTTTTTGTCTACTTACACAGTCCAATCTAATCCAGCTGGTGTGTGTGTGTGTGTGATTATTATTATCATTACAACTTCTCTTACTTTCCTTCCACTCTCTATTCCTTTTTGTTTTTCTTTTTATTTTAGATATTTGTTATTGCAACGCATGGACTACTCAGTTTAGATGCTCCACGTTTACTTGAAGAAAGTCGTATTGATGAAGTTGTTGTCACAAATACTGTACCGCATGAATTACAAAAAATGCAATGTCATAAAATTCGTACAGTTGATATTAGTCCACTTCTGGCTGAAGCTATCCGACGTATTTATAATGATGAATCGATGTCATATTTATTTATGAATGTACCTAAAGATGACTAGAGATATATATATATCGATGCCTGATGACGATGACGTCGACAACAACGCCAACGTTGTACGTGTACACGTGTTCGTCTTCGTGTTCGCGTTTATTTTTCCTGTTGTTTTTTTTCTTTCATTGACTAACCCTGATGTTTGTGTGTCTGTGTGTGTGTGTGTGGACGTTCAGTGACAGTGTGTTGTCCGCGGGGGGGGGAGGGAATTAATTCTAAGTGCAACACTTATTAACTTTTTATTACGCAATAATGAAGAGAAAAAACAGAAAAAGTACAATTAACAAAAACTATTTGAATAAATATTTTTTTTCTAGGCTTATCATTATTCTATGAGTTTATCACAGTTATTACAGTTATCTCGTTAGTTATTTCAATCATTTTTGCGTGATTCAACTTTACCTGTCCATTTGCCTTACTTAGTTTGATTCACTTTTTTGTGTTTGTGTGTGTGTGTGAAGAGCAACGAAATCGCCATCTCATATTTTTTTCACCCACCCGATATCTTTCTTTTTCATCTGTTATTTGTACATAATGATAAAGTTAACTCAATTTTTTTTATCAAGATATATATATATATACCTAGAGACATGATTTTTGACTTCAGACCTGTACATACATGCCTACTTGGCCATTGAGAGTGGAAGACATGAAACACCTGACTGGCTGCCTTTGATCATAGGTGCCTGAATTCTATCTCCCGTGTGAAGTGGTATAATAGGGTGGGAATATTGAGGTTAGCCATTGGTCGCGAGTGCTAGGTAAGGAGAGGAAGTCAATAGACGAGCCTGTGAAGCTACATCGACTGAGGTGGTTAGGACGTGTGTTACGTATGCCTAGTGATCGACTTCCTCGATGGGCAATGATAGCTGACATGGGGTCAGGCTGGAAAAGAGCTAGCCGATGGTGGTCAAACCAAAACATGACTGCAGCAGTCAGTAAAATCCACAACAGTTAGTTTAAGCCAGCTAGTCACGTAGGAAGATGTAGACATCCTGACTGACTGGTTGGAGTCCTCGGGATGGTAAACACCAATGGTTGGAAACAATTGGTGATATGGCTCAAAGTGATCGTTGTCAATGGCTGTCGCAGATGCATCCACTCCTTGTGACTTATGTTTTCTAATAAAACTATATTGTTCTTCGTTATTACTATTTCTTTTGTCTCACATTTCAGTTTACTGTATCTATTATGCATTTCTTTTACTTTCTTCTGTTGCTTTGTGTGCTACATGGAAGGAGAGTGGCGACTTGAACTGCTGCTGCACATCGGTGCATACTTCTATGTTGAAAACAGACAGACAGACGTGCATACATGCAAATAATTCACAAACTTGGTACAGTATGTGGACACCAATGAGATACGCGGCAAAAATTGTTGTATCATAATTTATGCGAGGTCTGCGACGTTGACTGTCCGGATGATATGTGCTCATTGAGAGTGGGAGATATGAAAAGATTAGGTAGGCTATCGCTGATCACAGATTCCTGCGTTTTATCTCCTGTGTGTGTGTGTGTGTGTGTGTGTCAGGTGGCATAATAGGGTGAGTGATATTGAGGTGAGGCATCGATTGAGTGCTAGGTAATGAGGGAATATCAATCGACGAGGTTGTGAAGCAGCTGCATTCATTGTGATGGTTAGGACATGTGTTGCGCACGTTGAGTCGTCGATCACTTTCCTGGATGGACAAACACTTGGGAAAATGCTGGTGGTGGTCAAACTAAAACATGACTTCATCAGTCAATGAAATCCACAACAGTTAGTTTAAGTCAACCTGCGAGTCACGTAGGGAGGTGTAGACTGTCTGACTGGCTGTTTGAGGTCCTCGGGATGGTGAGAACCAATGAAGGCTGGAGACAATGGGTGGTGATATGGCTGGCGCAGATGCAATCACTCTTTGTGATTTACCAGTCATATCTATTGTTCTTCGGTTCAACTGTTCTTTCTCCCTCACTAACACTTCTGTTTATTATCTCTCTCTTTTCAGTCTCTCTTTACTCTCCTCTCTTGCTTTTCGTGGTATATGGAGGGAGAGTGGCAAGTCGAACTGGTGGAGGACCTCTGTGAAAAGTTCTATTTTGAAACTAGTCAGTCAGTTAGTCCGGACGACAAGCCTGAAAAGTAGGTAGGGGTGGGGTTGTCTTTAAGGGGCCGCCTTCCTCACCCTTTCCTAGCATTTGACTTTTGAAGTCTGATTCACAGAGAACATAGTGGGGCAGCGGTGTTGCCGATAACCAAAACAGACTCATCACACACACACTGTTCCATCCGTTCGGATTCTGGAGCCTGTGGTACACATCCCTAGGCTTGGAATGAAGTTTTTACCAGCTTGCTTAGATAGACATCTACACGTCCACCAGTCCGGTGATTGTATAAACACCAACTAGATGTTCGCATTCCTCTCTCTCTCTCTCGCTGTAGGAAGCCAGTGGATACGAATTTTCCGGTTACTAGAGCCTATGATGAACTCGCGTGACTGATTGGATTCAACGTAGAATTTTGTACAGATGTACAGAAGTTTGAGTTGACACTCTCCTTCCATATACACCACACAAAGCAAGAGAAGAGAGCAGACATTCAAAAGAGACAAATAGTTAACACAAATATGAGTGAGGGAAAAAGATTAGTAAATATCGAAGAACAGTAGGAGTTTTATTGGATATGACTGATGAGTTACAAAGATTGGGATGAATATTCACTAGCCATTGAGAACCTATGGTTTTGAGCCAGATCATCAGTTGTCTTCAGACGTCAATGGTTTTTTCCATCCTGAGGACCCCAACCAGGCAGGCAGTCTTCGCCTCCCTAAGCGGCTAACTTAAACTAAAGAACATCCCGACTTATCCTACAGTAGTTCGTAGTCGGTGGCAAGTTACTAATACTCAACCGAACCTAGAAGTCAGTTCAAATAGCCCACTCGTTGTAACTGGCCTCAAACAGTTGTCTCTGGGGACATACATAACACTAATCCTCTTTCAGTTTCGATTATTCCAAGAATAAACCAACTTCCACACTGTGTAGGGTGGGGTGGGCAGCCGCTTACACACATCTCCAAAAGCACACGAAGCCCTTCTGATTATCATGAAGACATGAGAGCATTTCGAGAAGACCACTAAAGTCATAGATGTGTGATATACAGCTATCGAAGAAAATATCTGCGTATTGCGATTCAGTTTGCTATGTGTTATGTACTGGTCGAGAATTTAATAGTCCTGACGCAAGAAAGACGGAAATCAGAAGACCACTAGGTTTGCGATGATACTTCTATTTTCCAAAACACCAGGAGAATCAATATGTCACACAAGAGTGTGAGAGCAAAATATATAAGAATGTCCGAACAAGTGTGTGAGCGAATATTCAAAATGAACAAATCAATAGACAGTCTTAACATGATTGACTAATTATAATGGAATATCGATCCATATATATACATAGCAAAATATATCAGACTGTCAAGCAAAGCACACATATTATATGGATACATATCACTATGTCTTTCTTTATGATTGTGATACATGGTTATCGCTAGTGAATGGTATAAAGAGGCTAGCTGCCTTTGACCACAGTCGTTCTCTAGTCAGTGATTCTTTAAATGATATCAATTCGTTAACAGACTTTAAATCTGACTGGTTTCAACATAGAACTTTGCACAGACGTGCACTACTTCGATTTGACACACTCTCTCCATGTAGCATACATAGCGAGAGAAGAGAGATAATTCACACAAGTGTGAGTGAGCGGAAAACAATAGTAATATGGTAGAACAATATAGTTTTTAATTGAATATGACACGAAAATCACAAAGAGTGATTGCATCTTCGTCAGCCATATCACCATCCATTGTCTCCAACCTTCATTGGTTCTTACCATTCCCAAGACCCCATCCAGTCAGTCTACACCTTCTTACGTGACTGGATAGCTTTTACTAACTGTTGTGGATTTCATTGAATGATGAAGTCATATTTTGGTTTGACCAAAACGCACTAGCTCTCTCTTTTCCAACCAGATCAATCCTATCTGAGTTAGCTAACATTGCCCATTGTCGAGGAAACTCTTAATCAATCCAATCCCAATAAAGTAAGACTAGAAAAAGCAAATAGAGCTTGTTTCAGTCAGTGTCGTCAGAAAGGACAATCTTCCCAGGTTTGTTTTATTATTTTCTTTTCCTGACGTTCCCAGTGGAACATAGGGCTTTGAAGTTTGTGTAACAGTGATCTTTTTTACGGTGTGGGGTTGTTAGCCTCATGCCCAACCTTTCATCTTTAGTGGATCTATTACCGGTTAGGCGAGGGTTAGGAATGCGTCGGTCGAGAATCGGATCCTGGAGCTTATACATGGTTGGTGAGCATTCTACCACTGCCGCACAATTTTCTGAAGTGGTTATTCACTGCACTGAATGTGAATACAAAGTCAACATTGTCTATCATACACAGAAAAGAAGGAATTTACTCATGTCTGATTATAAAATCAATATGCATATGTGTGTATGTATGTATGTATGTATGTCTGTGTGAATGATTATTTCTCAAATATTTTACATAATTTTAATTTCAGATTATCAAGAGATGACTGAGTTAATATGCACACTTTAGATTAATTAATTAATTAGTTAATTAGTATACATTCCAAATTATCTCTTTGTTGGAAGCGATCGATTTCAGATTTCACCTATGTTGGACTAACACTGATCTATTCAGTGTGAAATAGAATGAATGAATGAATTATACACGATTGTAGAGAAACTGTAAAATCTATGATACCTATTCTGCTATATTTAACAAATGTGATATCTGGCTATCGATTAAATGGCGTGTGTACTGCTCAACAGTCCTCTCCGTCCTCCTTTATGGCTGGCTGTGAGACCCAACCACTGAAATTGAAAGATGGTGAAAAGGCTGGCTAGCTAGCTGTCTTTTGTTCATAGGCGCCTGCATTATATCTCCCATGTTATGTGGCATAATAAAGTGAGTAGTAATATTGAGGTGAGGTGAAGAAATCAATCGATGAGGTTGTGAAGCAGCTGCATTGATTGAGAAGGTTAGGACATGTGTTATGTATGCCATGCATCCCTAGCCATCGCCTCCCTCGACAGTAGGTAATGTTAGCTGACATGGGGTCAGGCTGGAAAAGAGCCAGCCGATGGTGGTCAAACCAAAACATGACTGCAGCAGTCAGTAAAATCCACAACAGTTAGTTTAAGCCAAGTAGGAAGGTGTAGATTGGTTGGGGTCCCAGGGATAGTAAAAAAAACCAATAGCTGAAGACAGTTGGTGAAATGGCTCAAAATCGTTGTCAGTGGTGCAGATACATCTACTTCTTGTGACTTATAATTTCAAATAAAACTATATCGTTCTTCGATATTACCATTTTTTTTGCCTCATATCTCTGTTTACTGTCTCTATTTTGTGTTTCTTTTTGCTTTCTTCTCTGGCTTTGTGTGATACATGTAGGAAGTGTGGCGACTTGAACACTGCTGCATATATCAGTGCAAAGTTGTTCTATGTTGTGACCAATGAGTAAGAGGTACTAAGTGTTTGAAAAAGCTGAGTTGAATTACAGTACACAGTACCTGTTTGTGTGAGATGGA